GTTAATTTAATGTTTGCCTGTATAATTATAAAAAACGGAATCATGGTTCTGACTGAAAATGCTTTCCTGATTGGGGAGGGTACGTTAATGAAGAGTAAATTCCTAGTAAGCTAATACAACATATGGAATTTTATAGTTGTCCCTGAATATATTTGCTCTTGAGTATTTGTCTCCTGACAAGCTATACTGGCTTGTAGAATTAACTGTTCCATATGGCTAACAAACTTATTCAATGAGAATCTGGAAAGGAATTATTTCAGAGATACCTTCAAGAACAAATACCCCAGGAGAGCAACTTCCTTTCTAATGAACTTGGCAACATCTTGCACCACATGGAGATGTTGGGTTACAGGTCTAGGGCAGGAAAATAGTAATCTGAAATTCCTTGCTAGCCACAGTGGAACATACTCTCAAGGTGAATGGTCCCAGAGGTTTTAATTATGGACTCAGGAATTCAATATCATCTCCTGCTTCTCATTCAACACATGGTTCTACACCTCTTCCTTTAGGAAATAATATCCAGGTTGAGAATATCTTATTGATTTTGACATATAAGCAAGCACTTAGGATGAATACCATCTTGGTGGTATTTAGTTGTAGCTACAAAAAGTAAATAAAAACACAAGACTTATTTTAAAATGAATCAGTTTAGATCCTAAATGGCCAAAGAAATTCTCTTCACTATTAGTGAAGGCATGGAAGTATAACACAATGAATTTCAAATTTCAGTATATATAGGCATCATTCAGGGATACTTGTTTAAAAAGCAAAATCCTATCCTAACCAAGTGAACTGAATTTCCTGAGAGTACACCCTCAGGATGACTTCTCAGGATACAGTTAATGGAAATATTACTAGCACAGAAGTTGGGTTACAGTCCAGCTGAAAGTCAATTAGTTGTGGAAAATGGCAAGGCATTTAATCATGAATCCATTTCTTCTTCAATAAAGCAAAGGTGCTAGACAGAGATAATCTTTTAGGTATCTTCAAATTTCAAGGATCTCAGAAATAAAATAATATCCAGGTGTACCAACTTAAATTATTATGTGATGCTATTCCTTAGGCTTTTATAACATATGTTCAAAAAGCTATAACAACCTGAACCATCATATTTCATTGGTAATTTCAATCAGTCAATAGGATACTGGAATCTGAGGTTACAAAACTAAGCCGCATCTGTACTTTCTGTGTGCCAGTCTGTTCTAAGCACTTGATAAATGATATTCAGTCATTGAGAGGAAAACAAGAAGGCATCAAAAGGTAGTCTGAAACCACTAAAATATGTAAAAGGGAATAATGTAGAATACTAAATTGTGATTACTATTAAAACTCTGGAAATACTTAACATTAAACCATAATCATAAAATGATAAAACGATCAATGGAAAAGAACCTTCCTAGGTACAAATTAATGACTCTGCCTCCTAGATTGTGAATAATTTTCAATTCAGTAAAGAAATATCAGTTGAAATTATCAAGAAATCAGCAGCACTTAACCCTTCATGTATGTTGTCTGAGAATATAAGCAAACATAAATCTTGATATTGTCTAATTTCTTTACAAACTATGATTTTAAAGCATTTATGTTCTAAAGTAAGGGCTTACAACACATGTCAAATAGGTTAAGGAAGGAGTAAGAAATTAATTAATTTGTATGATAGATATCAGCTAGACTAGAGAAAACAGTAGCTTGCTTCTTTAAATCCTTGGTAGTTCCACTCTGGACAGAGATTCACATTGCTTTTACAATTAATTATGTTAAAAGGAAGTTACAAAATGGGAAGACCCTCCCTCATAAGAATATAATGGATTATTTACATTTACTAGAAAACTGCAACAAATTCATCACTGTTCTAGTTTTTCAAGACAATAACAAAGCATAAGATACATGTATGTGTTCTGTTTTACATTTGAGACAGAATAAGTAGATGAAGCAATAACTGGCTAACACATAGACTAGGCATGTGCCAGACATACTGGACTAAATAATATTAAACAAAGGCCACTCCACCCTCAACTACAATCATAAGCTCAATTAACTTTTGCAAATGTAAACAGATTCTAGAAGAGTAAGGCTAAGAAGATGAACAGAGAAAAGGAAATTAAGCTCTACAGACTTTATGTAAAAAAGCTGGTTCAGAAAAGACAGAACTGGAACCCTCGCTCCAAACTTACAGTTTAGTAACTAGAAGTTTCACCACAAAAATATTTTTTAAAAAGAACAGGAATAGAAGAAATCTGCTTGCTTTCTTTTTTTCATCCATGTATATACAAGTACTTTGTGGGTCAGGGACTCACATGCTATTACTGCAAGTGAGTGGCCCACTGCCTGTCCATTTAAAAAAAAAAAAACTAAGTAGATTCAACATTTTTAAGTGACTGGAAAAAATTCAGAAKAAAACTCTTCCATGACATTTAAACATTATAAGAACAGAGTCTCACTGCAGCATCCACAAATAAGGTTTTACTGAAGCATAGTCAGGCTCATTCATTTACATACTGTGATGGCTCCTTTTGTAAAAGCAAAGGTGACTAGTGATGATATAGACTGAATGTCCTATTTACTTTCTGGTCTTAACAAAGAAGGACTACAGACCTCTGCTCTTTTCTGACTCAATGAAAACTACATAATAAATATATGAAGAGTTTCATCAGAAAAGAGAGAAAATAAGACAATGGTAAAATTAAAGTTTGTATCCAAACTTTATCCTTCAATTCATAGCTAATAGGGAAAGTTTGGCAGAGTGACAGGGAGTGAGGCAGTGACAAGGAGTGAGGCAGATTTCACATTATTGTAACAATGCTGATGGAACAAAAAAAACCTTCACCATTTAGACTTGAAAATCTTCAAGACTTGAAAATCCTATTGGCATATGCTTTCTCCAGCTACACCAAGTGGAAGCAGACACAAAACATAAGGGAAAGATCTCTTAGCAAGAAACAAATAAGAGGATTCCAAGGCTCCTTAACATGTGTCCACCAATGACAGAGACCAGGGTAAAGAGTTAGGGAGGAATGTGCCTTATTATGTAAGTTCTAGGTTAGAAATAAAACCCCAAATTCTCCTTCCAGCTGGGTCTGACTTTGAACTAGTCAGATGACTCTCCTAGGGTTTACTCTTTTATCTGTAATGTAGCATGCTGATCTTCCAGAGGAATTCTCTCTTATCTTCTAAACTAGAGGAAAAACCAAAAGAGGAAAGGGACTGGGGGAGAAAGGACTTTAAAAGAAGAAGAATGTCTTAAGAACTTTTTAAAAGTTCCTTTGTTTTAAAAGTTATCAGTTTTAAATCATAAAGTTTCTTCTTTAAAGTAGACAATACACACTTAGGAAAGAGCTGTCCCTCATCTGAGAGCAGTGAGCAGATAGCCAAGCATCAGATGGCGCTAGATGATACTAACCACTACATCAGGATGGAGAACTAAGAAACAGAGGCATTTGAATTTGAGGATGTGAGTTTGTTCCTTCCCATTCTGAGGGGTTTCAGTAACAAAAGACATATGTACCCATGCTGGGTGTGTTCTTTTTTTTCCCAGGAGCAAAAGCAACATTTATCTGAAAAATGCCTGCTATACAAGTAGCCACCCAGGCATTAGTCATGAATATTATCTGGAACAATTAGGGGCCAGTTAGAACAGTCAGCACCTTCCTACCACTGTACTCCAATAAAATTAGGCTTATTTATCAGGTTAACCACGTGAAAGTTTGGATAGTACAGTTCTGTTTACTTACTGGGGTAACTTTAAGAAACAAAACTCAAGTTAGCTCCCTGAAGACCAAACCAGCGCACTGTCAAGTCTAGCAGAGGAATACTAACTTTCCAAAGGGCAGTATAATTTAGCCCATTAACTTGGTTTACAGCTTTCTATAGGTTTTTCTTTGACCAGCATGGAATCTTAAAAGTAAAGAGTACTATTTTCCTCTAAAGAATTTAAGATCTCATTTTAAAAGTTAGTAGCCTTAAACCAGAGAAAAATTATCTCAAGATTTTGAAGAAAAACATTTTTTAAAATCTAATGAATATTAAGTATAGAATTACTGTACGACCTAGCAATTCCACTATTAGGTACATGAAAACATATGTCCACATAAATTTGTACATAAAATATTCACAGTGACATTTCTAATAGCCAGAAAGTGGAAACAATTCAAATACACAATAAAATGTGGTAATTCATAAAAACAGACTGACAATTAAAAAGAACTGAAATAATGATTGATGTTGCAACAYGGATGAACCTTGAGAATACCACACTAAGTGAACAAAGTAAGTCACAAAAGACCACATATTGGTTAATTCTTTTATATGAAGTTCCAGAATGGGTAATCTGTAGAAACAGAAAGTGGATAAGTGACTGCCAGAAGATGATGGGAGGCTTTCTTTATGGAGTGAGGATAATATTGTCAAGTTAGAACATTAGTGGTGGCAGCTGCATAAGTCTATATTAAAAGCTACTTAACTGTGCAGTTTATTTGAATGTGCCGTTTATTTGAATGGGTGGGTTTTTATGGTGGGTTTTTATGGTATCTCAATAAAGGTGTTATGAAAAAAAAACTAAACTTTTTTCTTTGCTAAAAATGATGACACTTCATATTTTAGACAGCTATAAAACAAAAAACCTCACTTTTGCTGCTACTGAAAGAGGAGTCAGGTTTAAGACAGGTTTACAGATTCCCCTTTTGTGGTAATTCTTATTGTCTGACCACTTTATGCGTTACGACAAAAGTTAGTCTTGTGTTCATGGAGGAAATGTATTTCACTGTACTCTCCAAGATATTCATGTAGGCGGGCCCATCTCAAACTTTGTTGTGTGGTACACAGTTTTTAATGAAAGCTTAGCTGCAACAACCACCACATTTCTATATCAGAATTAGAGAAAAAGGGGGCAGGGATACTGTTGTGCCCCTATGCCCCAAACAAAAACCACAGCCATAAATCAGACACAGGAGACCAAACTAATAAACATACACTGTGCTTATACACTTACTGATGCCACTTACCGCCTGGGTCTTTGGGCCTTGTTTCATCCTAGGTGTGGTAGCTCCATTCCCTACAGCCACCTCTTCAGACACTGAACTAGCTCTGGTCTTACTTAGAAAATCCACTTCATCTTCAGCTTTCCTGTCTGGCATTTCTGAAGAGAAAAGGAGGGTTATAAAGTGAGTGCATTTGAAAAAATTCATTCTTGGGACTTACTATTTACACAACAAGCTCCAGGTTTCATGTTTTGTTTGTTTTGCCTTAAATGGAAAAGTATTCTTTTGCTGTCAGGAGCTGGTGTCACTCTGACCCCATGCTGAGTGAGCTACTCTTATCACATGGTTGTGTGGTTTTCTCTAGCCTTTGTATGGGTTTGGAGCTAAGGCAAGAGCTGGTTCAGTGTCTACTGAATGTCCATTTCACCCCTGACTTTTCATGACAAATCTGTGAGTATGGTGCTGACTTCCATGTGGAAAAATCAATTCATAAACCGTAGGGGAACAGATTAACAGCTATAAGTAGTCCATTCTGACCATACCAAAAATATTTTTTTAAAAAATAGCCAGAGGGATTTGTACTGAGAATGAGACAAACCCTCTGGAACAAGTCTGACTTATTCTAAACCTGTACTACACACACTCCCGATCCACCCTATCACTGTAATCACTAAAACTGAACTACTCCAGAAAATTACTTTTAATTTTAACTCTTTATTTTCTCTAAAACCAAAACATTAAAAAAAAAGACTAGCAATTCATTTTATTAAGAAAAAACCTTTATACATGTGTTCTCTAGTATTATGTAGTTGTCTTCTTGATAGCCACACCAACAGACTGAACAGTGATGCTTTTGTTACTTGGCCAAACAAATACAGGAAGGAAGTGATAAAAATGATGCTGGAGGTAAATCTGGGCTTCTGACACTTGTATAAAGGGAAAAAAGATTGAACAAATTTGTCTCAGTATTCTAAATGCAAACAGAACTGTCATCTCATTTTCACGTGAAAAATGTGCTGTGGTCTTCATTGATCTCACGATACCACTACTCTGACAAATAAAAATGCTCCCTACAAATACCAAAAAACACAAAGCTTGTTTCTTTTGCCAAAGAATAAATTATACTAATTAATATTTTATTCTAGAAGTACATGCAACACGTCCAAAGTTCTCTTTTGATTTGGGAAGGTTAGATTCCTATAAACAAACACTTATAAATCTCCTTTTTTCTGTCCTTGCCTTTATAATTATATAATCTTACTACCAACTTAAAAATGGATTAAGAAGTTTCTTTGCCCAGAGTATCAAAATCTAAGTTTTATAAACTATAGTTAAAAAAAAAATCTCACTGAGCAATGCCTTTAGAAATACCCCTTTATCAAAATATTTCTAAGTGAGAGTAATTGGAGGAATAGGTGTTGATTTATTTTATTTTATTTTATTCATCTGGGGATGGTATTCTTGGCACAACCTTACTTTCCTATACCCCAAAACAGAAAATATGTATCTTGGCACATAGCAACCAGTTCCAATGATAAACAGTGATTACAGAGACGTGAGGGGTGTTGGTAGCTCTGTGGGACTGGCATGGTTCAGTCATACACCACCAACTTCCTAAGCACTGAAATCAATGCTTTTGATGGATGAGAGATCACATCCCCTTTATTCTATCTGGCTCTTTCCAAATCGGCAGCTAAACTTATGTTTCCTCTCTGGTAAAACTACATAGTTAAATTTACAAGTGAAATGTAAATTTCCTAGGAAATACCCTTTGGCTCTGAGATCAGACTCAGGTGCTTTTTCTTAGGGTAATGTGACCAGGGACTTTTCCCAGCTGAATTTCTGAAGAAGGCACCGATTTCTTTATCACTGGATACTTTTCCTTGTAGTTTGAGATCATGAGAACAGTAAACCTATGAAGACACCTTTTGGAAACAGGACAAGTAATTCACATACATAAAATACACCAACCCCAAGGCCACATACACTGTTGAAATTTCCTATCTTCTTTCCTTTTTAATTTCCTTTTATTTATTTATTAAATTTCGATTTGTGCTTTCTTCCTTCTTAAAGAGTTTACAATCTTAAAACACTTCCTAGTGTATTCACTACACTTATGTACTATTAAAGTTTGAAATTCTCCATTTTCACCTTTTCTCATAGAGCACTACAGATACAAACCCCACATAGTACAAAGTTACTTGGGTTAAATTCTGACCATGGAGTCAGAAGAAGAAATAATTCCACCCATATGGCCAAGGACACAGCACCCAAATTAAATGAACATAGCCAGGCATCAACTTACAGCCACTCCCATTCTTCTGAAATGCCAACCTGCCAGGGGCCCCAAAATAGACTTGTTGTTGTGCCTTATTTAAAACAGTAGAGACCTTCTCATTTAAATTCTGAGACAGCGATCAACAGATTTCTATCACTAATAATTTAAAGCACTAATAAATCTAAAAACCTTTAGTCACCAAAAATTCTACTTCAGATTACTTAAATCCCCCAGCTGGGACAGGGTGGAGGGTGCAAAATGGCTAAAAGCTCTTTACCAGGGAAATTAACCACTGTGTTTAAATTGCACTTCTTCTTAAGCAACTGTTTTTGTTGCTCCGTTTCTCACCACACCACACCCCACACTCCTAACACGTACTATACTATAAAAGCTTGTCAAAATTTAAAAAGGGGAAAAAACAGAACCAAAACAATCAAATAATAAGGGTAAACAAGCTATCTCTTACCTACAAAAGCACAGGGGCAGGCATGGAGATAGGTCTTCTGTCTATCAATGGTAGCAGATGGTAGTATAAGAATGTGCATCCAACTGACCTTTAAAGACTTCAGAAGTCAAGACCAAGACAGACTCCAGTTTCAGCTTCAGTCTCAACCCCCAATAAGAAGTTTTATTCAGATAGTTTATTTCCACTGAGCAACAGTGGTTTCTCTTTGCTGTCTCTGGACGTGGTTACCCATAGATGGAACGGGCTGCTGTATGAGCAATCTGCTCGGTGCAGCTGCTTCACCAAGATAAGCAGACACAAGGTCTGCCTGGTGACAGCAGCTCAGCAGACTGGGCTTGGGCGGAAATCCTGCATCCTATCCTATCCTCTGCGCTGTGCAGGGTCCTGAATTCTCAGACTCTGCTCAGAAGTAATAAGCAATGGAACTGGAGTTTTGCTCCTCAGGCAGGAAAAGGAGGGAGTCTCCTCAGTCAAACTACTGACCTCGTACCACCATTTTGGGTGCTGGGTTTAAAATGATACTTATTTATAACTGTTCATAAAACTACTCTGACTCTAAATTTTCTCAGAATACAGACAGAATGATAAAGAGGAAGAGTTTCAGGCTTGTAAATAAAACACATCCTTTACAGCACCGTTTTCTATGGTTCCAAAGAAAAGAACTAGGCCGTGTGAATAAAAACATCTGCTAAATTCCTTCATCTTTTACAGTACTTGTGATCTAGGCACCATCTTCCAGTTTGGAAAGTTGCAAATGCTCCAGTGTGACAGAGCATTTACAGGCTTAAGCAATCAAGCTGTGAGTCTATAATACAGGAAGCAAAATCTGTCCAACCCCAAGACGACGTGCGTCTCTTGATGGTGGTGTCTATTCACTTGGCAATCTACTCAATGAGCAAGAAAGACCTTCAAACAACAAAGACACCTGTATTTTACAGCACGTCCCAGAGACTCTAAAGGAAATCTGCTTCTTGAAATATTAATTTTGTATTTTGCTTTGCTTACCTGTTGCCAGCTCAGGCTGACCAATCTCTGGCTCCTCCCTTCCAGCAAAACATCCTGCAGGGTTCCCAGTCAGCTGTTCTGTCCTAGGGCCCAGATCAGGACCAGATGGTGATAACTGACTGATTTTCCCCTCAGGAATCAGCACTCCTGAGGCTTTGACTCCTTCAATGACAGCTTCCACTATCCGGCAGGCAGTTGCCTCTAGCAAGTCTGCTCCCTCAGGCACATGTGCAGCTTCAACAGAGATCATGCGATCACTCCTTTCCCTGCCTGGAGCCAAGATTTGTGTGACTTCTCTCATGCAAGTGGGAGCCTTGTCATCGAGAGTTGAGAGTCCTGTCTGTGTGGGGAGCTCCTTAGCAATAAGCTGCAGTGCTCCATCATCCATTTGTGACTCTTTGGAGTCACCCATAGAATAGCCGTGGTCTGCTCTCTCCTGCTTCCCTGTCTTCCAATCAGGAGGTACCATCCCTGGGTTTGCAGCTCCCTGTAGTCCAGTCATACCTTTGTTTGGTAAATCTCCTGGCAAACTCTGGATCACATTCTTCTCCTGGCTCAATAAAACTTCTGAAACTGGGATGTTTTGGATGTTGGGTGATCTATCCTTTCTTCTGGGCCCAGCAGTATCTCGGAGAGCATTTACCATTGCAACATCCACCATCACATTTCCATTCAACTCATGAACACTGGTTTTTCCCTGGGATTCAGTATTATCAACTCCCACATCCAGAGCAAAAGGTGGATTGCAGTCAAGAGCCTCAGGTTCATCTGGCAGCAAACCAGACAACAGAGGTGAGCTGTTCTGTTCTGCATTCAAGGCTTCCTGCCTTGAGTCTGTAGCCAGATTTGCTCCTGGTGGCACCAGGCTCTGTGCAGCCCCACCTTCAGTCAGCAGGGAGACTTGTGGGGCCACTTCCTTGTTATGTTTAGTTTCTGTCTTAAGACAAGCAGAGGGTGTGCCCAGTGAACTGCTGGGCTGAAGTGCTTTGTCCTCAGCACAGGCCACCAACGTAGGTTTTTCACAGAATTCTGGAGTCTCTTGTCCGGGAGGTAGTGTTCTCTGCTCTTCCTGAAATGTTCCTGAAGAAAGCATGTCTCCCTTAATGGAGGAACAAGGCACTGCTTTGTCCTTGTCATCTTGTCTCTGCACTATAGAGCTTTCTGGAACCACCAGATTTTTGCCTTCTTCAAAGAAAACTGAATCAGAAGTCAAAGTGGCCTTACCCACACTCAGTAGAGAAGAGTTAGTCAGAACTTCAGGAGCTGATGAGGGGCCAGGACCTTCAAGCTCCCCATCACGTCTTCCGGGGCTGGTATTCCCCATGCTTAGCTGAAGCTCCACAGCAGCCGAGGCCAAGGACAGGCCTACTGCCCTGTCTCCTGGCAACTGTTCATCAGGATCATTCAAATCTCCTCCAGCCAGGCCATCTCTACAAGCTGAAGCCCCGTGTTGTTCAGGAGTTGCTGTTCCCTTTTCTTTCTGGGAGGGGACAAGAGAAAGTGCGTCATCTTTGGTTACTGATTCACTGCCTGGACTGGCTGCCAGAGAGAAAGTGCTGTCAGATGGCACCGCCTGGTCTGGAACCAGTTCTTTCTCAGTTTTAGGCACAATTGGATACAGAGGTGAAACTACCTCAAGAACATTTGTTAAAAGCGTATCTAGTTTTGAATCTTTTCCCTGACCATTTTTATTCAAAACTTTGAGAGGACACAAATCTACACATTCTGAAGTGACTGTATTCACTTGTTGGTCTTCAAGGCAGATGGCAGTGGATGGGTCTTGTGTTTTGGGTTGCCCTTTCATGGTGTTTTCAGGTTGGCTCACCAAGTCATTGCAATGTTTTGCAATCAATTCACCACTAGAAGTCACTGTGTTCTGTTGACATTCCGAGTCAGAGCAGAGTTTATTATCTCCAGTGGCACAATAAGCCAGTAATTTTCTGTTTTGGCTTTGAGTATGAGATGAATTCATTTCTGATCCCTGGTTTGGCATTACATCTTTTTCTATCTCAGAAAAGATTAAATCCAAAGGTAACACTGCTTCACATCTGTCTGCTAAGGAAGTGCTAGGCTCTAATTCATCTAAAATCTTGTTATTTGTAGCCGTTGGGATTATCAGAGAATTCTGATCTAAAGCATCAGCACTTTCCTCACAACTTCCAGAAGTTTCAGTTTCTGCTGTTTTTTCAATGGGGGTTTCTCCAAGACTAAATCCAAATGAAGACTCAGCAGGTCTGACACTACTTGGGGCACTTGTGGCAAAGACACAGTTTGGAACACTGATTTTATCCACTGGCTCACTTATGACTGGTACATCAGCGGCTCCAGTTGTGCTGATATTCGACTTCTCAAATCTTTCCTGTGTACTTTCTACTGCTTGAGGCATATTATTCTGGGTGGCAGCAGCTATGTTCATGAGGTTATGTTCCACTTCCCCTGCACCTTGTGAGGCGCTGCTTTCTGCTGTTGAACTGTCTGCTAGTTCACCCCCTGAGAAATGCTGGGCTGTGCCTAACTCTGTGACCACATCTCCCTGCAGCACACTGCCTCCAATGCTCAAAGACTCCTCCTCTGTGCCCATTCTACAAGACTTTGTTCCAGTTTCTTCATTTTGGTTTCCACAGGATTGCAGGCCAGCCATGCCCTTTACTCTACAGTCAGGCATGCTCTGAATGCAGCTGCCTTGATTGGTCAGAGTTCCAGAGTCCATAATAGGTGCTGGCTCCACCTCTTCCCCTTTTCTCGCCACGCCTTTATTTTTTTTACTGTAAGATCCGTCTGTCTTCTCTTCCTCAACTACACTTGAAAAATCACAGGAATTCTCAATCGGTCCAACAGGGCTCCCCTGGCAGCACACAGTGCTCACAGTCTCTTTAGGAGGAGGAGAAAGCTTCTGGCTATTGGAGGACTCAGGTGGACAGAGAAGGAACTTGCCATCTGTCTCTGGGGCACTGGGCACACTGGAAATATCCTGTGCTGTCATCATTAAGGGCGTAAGATTGTCCATCTGCTTGAGGTTTGTTTTCTAGGAGGAAATCAAAGATAACTTTTTTAAAAAGCTGTTCGAGAGAAGATGTCACTGATACTTATAAGCCAAACTCTACTGAACATAACTCCCTGCCCTCTTGGCCCTTCCAAGGTCACATGATACGGTGATCTAAGCAAATACAAATTAATTATCTCTCTCTTTTTCAATATATTTATTTATTTTTTTATGTTGTGCTGAGGATCGAACCCAGGGCCTCCCACGTGCCAGGCAAGAGCTCTACTGCTGAGCCACAACCCCAGCCCTAATTATCTCTCATTTCTGCTATTATTTTCCTCTCTCCACTGGAGTGTTAAAAATGACTTAGGAAATACTCACTGATTCTCTTCTATATAGAAAATTATGCTAGAAAGTAGATTAAAACGAAGGCTCAAAAATCTTATTTTAAAAAAGCACTGCGAGCCAAGAAGAAATACAATCTACCAACAAACATGGAAAAATATTCACCATCTCTAGTAATTAGAGAAATGCAAATCAAAACTACTCTAAGATTTCATCTCACTCTAGTCAGAATGGAAATTATTAAGAATACAATCAACAGTAAGTGTTAGTGAGGATATAGGGGGAAAGGTACACTCATATATTGCTGGTGGGACTGAAAATTGGTGCACCACTATAGAAAGCAGTATGGAGATGCCTCAGAAAAACTTGGAATGAAACCACCATTTGACCCAGTTATCCCATTCGTTGGCATATAACCAAAGAACTTTAAATTAGCATACTGCAGTGACACAACCACATCAATGTAGCAGCTCAATTCACAATAGCTAAGCTATGGAACCAACATAGATGCCCTTCATCAGATGAATGGATAAAGAATATGTGACATGGAATATTACACAGCCTTAAAAAAGAATGAAATTATGGCATTTGCAGGTAAATAGATGGAGCTGGAGAATATCATGCTAAGTGAAATAAGCCAAACCCCAAAAAAGCAAAGGGCAAATGTTTTCTCTCATAAGCAGATACTGATCCACAATTGGTGGCGGGGGAGGGGGGGTAGTTAAGAAAAGAATGAAGGAACTTTGGATTGGGCAGAGGGGAGTGAGAGAGGAAAAGGGAGGGGTATGAGGGTGGGACAGATGGTGGAAAGAGACAGACATTATTACCCTATATACACGCATGACTATACTACTGGCCTATACTACTGGTGTGACTCTGCATTACTACATGTATAGCCAGAGGAATGAGAATTTGTGC